AACGTTCGCTTATCAAATCTGATAAACAGGACGCGCATAACCAATTGCGACTAGTGAATTTTTTTGTTTTTGTCAATGTAACCTCTCTAAACTGTATGGTTGATCTACTTTTTGTGCTGTAAATGAGGTAGGCTAATTGGCGAAATCATTTTCGTTTCCTCGGGGATTTTACCGTAGCTCGCATGCCATGATAGTGCTTTAGCCTGTGCATTGTTTCAGAACTGTTCTACTTAATTTGTTTGCCTATCGCCGTTTGTTATGTATGCGGATTCTAACTAGTTTTTTGTTGCTGTTTTCATGCCTGTTTATTGCAGTGCACGATCCCCTCACTGGACCGGAACCTGCGCGATCTGAGAGCAGTTATTCCCTCACAGACAGTCTGTACTCGGTGGCCGATTCCGCGAAAGTGAGTTCGAACGCATGCACTGGTTTCGCCATGTAACTCTGCTCTATCGCTTCGCTCGCGGGTTCTAGTTGGTTTTTTGTCAATCCAATAATGGCAGTGCGAAAGGCATGTTTTTGCGCGGACATCTTAGTTTTCGTATCTTGCGCTTAACCCGAAGGTCATAACAAGTGCATGGTCATCAGATCGGACAGGAAGGTCAAAATAGGAATCTTTCCAGGTTGAGACACAATCGGGCACCGACAGGACTTCAAGGACCGGGTGTACAAAACCATTGTGCTCACGATGCAGTTGTACTGCTGCTGAAATTGGTCACCTTGTCTATATAGTATTTCCCTTGGTAGTCTTATAAATTCTCCGTCCATGTACTTCGAAAACCGATTCGCGGCTCTTGTACATGAGCGCTGAGTCTGGAGAGAAAAACGGGACGGGCAATGAATTAATCAGTGCAAAGCAATGCAGTGGTGCCGAGAAAAAGGAGATATTCACTGAATTTCTGTGGCATCTTGGCTATTCCTGAACGTCCGATCACGCTAGCCTGAGATGCTGAGCATCTGCTACTGAAAACGCTATAGGCTATGGTCGTGACTCGAACTCGTCAGTGTAAAAACTCTCCTTTCCTACAAAAATGTACTATGATCTGTTAATAGATATCAGTCTACCTTCGTGTGATATCATCTCACGGGATTGTGCATTTGTTTGCTTTTTCTCATTTTGTTGCAGATGACTGATGAACTGTTATCGTTCAAGAATATGCGGAAAATTGTCAGTACGTTCATTTTTAGTTTGCATTTTTTTATACACTTGCAACCATTTGAGAGCCGGAAAAACCTTTCGTTCTGTGTCTGCTCTATCATCTCGTTTTTTTTCGATTTCGTGCTAGTTTGTCTCAGTCCTCACACTTTTGTGGTACATCCGCGTGGATTATAAACTGAAGATCAGTATGGGATTGCGTTGCAAGTAATTATTTTTGATAAATACACGAATGTGCTGAGTCAGGTGTCTATTTAGTTTTTCTATTTGACACTGCTCTGTTTTTGTTGGCCAAAGTTGTCAATTGCGAATGACTTTTCAACATATAGTTTCACGCCAAATCTCCCTAGGCGTATTATCCCGATTCTGGATTACCGGTAGTTAAACTGTACATCACTCAGAATTCGTTTTCATTCAGTTAACCATACATCCACAAAGTATTAGATTCCAGTTTCGTTTTTTAATAGTTCTTCAGTAGCGCCTGTCCATTGCCCGTCCCGGATTCAATCCTCGAACCCTTCTCATGGATGCCAAGGCTGATACATTTGTGCTTATCTACTCACCCGAAGATTCACTAAAATCACCGATTCAGGTTTGTTCGGATAGGGTCTACAATGACAATCAGCTTACTCGTTTGACCCAACAGCAACACGGAGAGAGAGAGATGACCATCGGTGAACTCCAGTCGATCCCCCTCCNCCCCCCCCCCCCCCCCCCCCCCCCAGTACACACAATTAGGCCTTCCATGCATATTTCGGTACACTTATCCCAACCTATGACATACGGGTGACTGGGTTCAGGTACAAACTAAAATTTTGCATTCGTGATCATCGGTCGCGAGGGGAGTCAGGTCTTAAACACATAATGTGTCATATGCGGGTAAAGAGTCTTGATTAAATTTCGTTTGTATGATGATCATATATGTTACCATAAATATGCATCTCTGTCACAAGTTTGGTATTCGTACACGGTTGATGGCTCCTACTGTGGTTGAATTAGCTGTACACGGCTTTACATAATATGTACAACAGGTTGACATGAATCATTTGAGTTCATCTCTTTTGTACTGCATTTATTTTTCCCCCAATTATATTTTATCATTATACTTAATTTTCTGGTGCGTCCCCTTTTTTGCAATTGTGTTTGACCATTTTATGATGGACTTTTCACTTAAGGAGGACAACTAGGAATCACTTTGATCAGTGCGAAAATGTACCGTTGAAACTCATTTGGCAAACATATAAAGCCGGATGAATTGAATGAATTGCTTCGTCGCCCGGATTTAGGAAGTCCACTACATACTTGACCGAAACACTAGTTTTCACTCTGAATTTCAACTTGATCGCGCGTTTCAACAAAATACTTCCTGTTCAGGTCATTGAACCAGTTTCCAGCCACTTCATCATATACTATCTCAATAAAATCAATCCGCACCCAACAACTGGAACAACGACTACATACCCTCTGTTCAGCCCCTTCTGTCTATTATTACTACCCCTCGGCTGTTCGTTCCATTCAATCCAGCCATATCACCGATTAATTTGTTAGCCGCTCTTAAAACCTATTGCCCCTTCGTAACTCCTTGGTTAAAAAATCACCAGTAATACCCCATATGAGCCACCAAAGTTAGATGTGAAGGCGGCTGAACGAAGCATAGGCCCAAATCGTCCTGTCAACACACTATCTCTGAACGCTTAAACACGGTAGCCACGTAGATAGTAAACAGCTTTCCCGTCATGCGAATCACCAACACACTTTCTATTTCGGATCCTGTCTGTGGTGCATCAGTATCCGAGTACCAGGGTTTAGATTTCCACTTACCCTCAGCGCACCGCAGGTTTTCTTGATTTGTGCGGCCTGTCCCTACCTCCACCACAAATGAGGTCTCCTACTCTGACATCCATTAAGCTCGTAATTCACCGGAAATACTTCAGCATATTGTTCACTTTCGTCGATTTACCATTAAAACACAGAACCGGGACTGTAATAAGTCACAAATACGTAAGTGGATCGTACGTGTGCGTGTGTGTTTTATTTTGTACTCGAACGTTCCAGTATCTGTTGTAGCTCATAAATCAGTGACGAGGAAAAGAATGCATGACTTCTGGCTCCAACATCACCTGTGGTTTCTGTGTATATCCCACCAGTTGCTCCACACCAGCCTAACGCACGAGTTCTCAGCTCTGTGTTCGGTCTCGATTTTGTTTCTGTTTATGTTTGCATAGGAACTGGTTCACCTTTTCCGAAATGTATCATATATTTGCCACCATATTCGATCGAATGCTGAAAGTTCGCCCATTCGAGTGCATAAATCTACTACTGACTGACTGACAGCAGAAACAGCAGAGCAATGTACAGTCACCTGGGTCAAAATGAGGCCAAACTCATGATCACAATCAACAGACACCAGTGTGTGGCATTTCATTCATTCCGGACCTAGGTGGATTTTGCTTCAGTTCGTCTTCTCCTACTCCCCGTGTTGTGTGTATTTGAACTGGGGCTGTCACTCACCTTTGATTAAGCAGAGCTGTTGAAATCAAGTTTATGATTGTGAATAAAACTAACTACCAAAAGATCGGTCGTGCGCTCACGGTAATAATAATAGTAGTATCAACAATAATGTAGAGATTCCATGTGAGATAATTGGCACTGGTTAAAAAAACTATCATGTGTTGCTGTTTTTGTATGAACACTCAGTACAAGCTCCAAAAACTGTTGTCCTTAAACACCGGCCGAGTGAGTTTTTAGCATTGCGCATAGATGTACACACGCAAAAATGAAATGAACTGGTAGAATGGTGGCCGCTAATTTCCACTGACTAACCCCAATACTGTTTGTGATGGTGTTACAATCAATCGTTCGCCTTGCTCCACCTTCGATCATTACATATCACTTTCCTTATCTTCCCCTATCCCTCTTTTTCCGCGAGGAGATTGGGTTTTAGCGGACCTTTTTGTTTGAGTTCCACCGTATTGTCCCCTCATCACCAAACTAAAGCAAACTAAACATGAATGCCAGCACATACCAATACGCAAGATCGTTTACCTGATTACCAAAGGAAGTCCGTTTTGCACCACCCAGTTGCGGTCATTTTTCGATCGTCGGTTTCACATCCAATACCCTTTTTGTTCCATTTTTTCTCCCATCATCCTCATTAAGTCACTCTAACCAGTTTATCGTGGCTCTCACTGTCACAGCTTATGCCCTTAGCGTTCTTCAATGATCACATCGGGGGCGTGTACTGTTTAAATTATATGGTACTATACAGTTTCTGTTTGCTTGCCATGTTAGTGTTAGGATTCGTGGTCTCCCCTATCACTCTTTCCTTAAGCAGCGTTCACTTGAAGGACTTCAACTCTAGGCTTCAAAATAATTTAACCCAGAAGGTAATGCTAGTATTGTTGCAGTCCATTTCGGATATAACCCCCTTCCAGTTGGATAATCTAACGGGCTTCCTCATCATGGATGTCCAGTGTACCTTAGTGATCAATTGAACCGATGATCTTTCACCCGGTAGACTTGGGGTAGTTTAGACGATTCATCTTAGTTCGTTTAGTCAAGGTTTGTCAACTGCCCTAGACAAACTGGTTATTGGTGGCTCTTCGGTCCGGTTATCGCCCCGGAGATTGTTGTTTGATGCTATCACCCCAGGGGAAACATTCCGACCCCGAGGAGGCAATGAATATGGCTTCTTCAGCGGAGACTGCACGCTCAGGTTTTTGGGGGCAATGTCGAGAGAACCCCAGTACTGGATCTGTTAAGGGTTGAAAATTGCAACGTTTGGCGTTCAATTCCGTATTAACAAATGGTTAATGAGAGTTGTTGATTTGTTACACTCGCAACACGCCTCATGGTGTTGAATCACCAGGTTGTTACTTTTGTTCCGCTATCGAAGAGTTCAAGTGGCCATGGGAGTTAGTTCACATATTAAAGTAGTAGACTGTTCATTCATTTGACATGATAACTTGAATCTCCTCAAAGGATCATCGTCATATTCTTTAGGATTTCAATTTTGCTTCACGTGGTTTCAGCGTAACCCAGCCAATGACCCTATCCCACGTCACATTCGCTGTTAAAGTTGACCATTTCTCTAACTCTCGTTGAACCCCCTATAATTTTCCTCGTCGTCCTCCCCACCCCCACCCCGTTTTTTGATTCGGTCCCAGTGTGGAGTGCAGAGGATAGTTCACATCGTCTGTGTATTCCCCATTTTAACAAGATTGTCTGCAGCACACATTAATGACTACTTCTCGCGAACCATATGAGACGTTCATCCCTCCTCGCTCTCACTTTTTTGTTTGTTTGGCTTTCCACAGATGGGTGATTTCATTGCAAACTTTAGAACCCACGTCTGAAATAAGATGCACCTCAAATTTTGCTCAAACTAACAGGGCGGCGGTTTCGATGCGGTTAGACATTTTTGTCTCGGTTTCCTGTAGGCTTTAACTCTTAGTCCGTTTTGGGGTAGTATGCAAAATTTCAGTCCATCCATACATGTGCACTAACCCTGTCAATTTCGACAGATTTCGGAATTTGCTTGATAACAATGTGGTGATTTCCATCTTTTAGCCGAAATCAATGATGGCTATAGAAAACGTGCCGAATTCGACGATACGCGACTGTTAAACCAGTTCAACAACGCCGATGTGAATGACATGTTTGCGCCTCAGGTTGAAAAGGTGAGCTGTTTTGTTCTATGAGAGCAATTGATTGATGACTAAATACCATTCCTCCTCCTCCATTGGATTTGTTTGACATGGATGCTAAACCAATTCACACAACGGTAATCTCATCACGGGAGTCATTTTTGTTTACAACAGTACATCATTTGTTTCGCATGCAGTTTTCCCATCGGCATTCCACCGAAATGGTCCTAAGGTGACCTAGATTTTTCGACCTATCATGAAAATAAATTGCCCTAACATCAGGTATATTGTTGCTATCACCACCAGTATTTTATCATCTCATGCTCATCCACTTCCCAATTTATACCTGTTTTTGCTGTGTTTTCGTCTTCAATCAACTATATTTGGTTTATGATGACAGTCCTATCATCCATACAAAGGTAGAAATCGTCCAGACAACGATCACACGCCTTCAAATATGTTTTGTGCCGTCCATACCTGTGCACATGGACTGACCAACACGACCGCATGGCTTCCTCAGCCTCATCTCATCCTAGTCAGTGTATTTTTGTTGATCGCGCTGCGTACAATGTACTGTCTACCGCGACCACTCATCCCGTGTTCCGCGGCTCACTATCATAACTCCGATGGGGCTGGTGTTCCGTATGCATGTGTGTTTGTGTGTTTGTGCCTTATATTTTCTCTTGGCTCTCACTGGCTTTGTCCTCCTCTCTTTGATTGGTCTAGGTTACCACAATGCAGACCACTATTACTCATCTTGTCCCGGAACAGGGACTCTCCCAGAATGAGAGACTGTGTAGCTCCGCGGAAGTTGGACAGACAGGCAGAAAATCCCTTCTGATCACTAGCCGTGTTCAATAACACGATACAAATGAACTCATTTTATGGAGCTTAAATCAGTCGTTTCTTGCCGAAGCCATCATGCATAACCGAGAACAATGCCGTACATCCGCATCTCTAAATTCACTGAATTATCCAGGTGTATTCCGCTTAAGCTCTTGCACATTTTGGCTCACTCCATGCTTCGGTTATCAGTTATTTTGTGCCCAGCTCTTTTCTGTTCGTGTTGTCTCACGTTTGGGGCAGAAATCCACGGCGAAAGCCCATCAGGAATCCGAAAGGGTCTTACGGTGCCGCTAAAGTTATATTGTATATTGTTTGCGTGAACTTCAACTTGCGTTGACTTCTCACTTGATTCGTCGCTCGTGGCGCCGAATCTTTGGCACTAGGTCCCACTTACTAACAGGATGTTATAATCTGGTTTTTCTCGTGTTACACTATTAACGTTTCAAAAATTGTTCTCACAATATTCGGCAGCGGATAGCTTCGTCGATCCGGCACCGTATTTTCTGCATTCCAGTGCTCAGTTCGAAATGGCTCGCTTCGGTTCAGCTGAAATCCGATGCATAAAAATATTTCATCACCCGGTGGTCCAAGGAAGTTCACAACTGAGTCATATGAGTAGAATGAACGAGAATTGCTATGCCATAGTGAATATACTAAAGTCATCAAGGTTTCTAATAGGGGTCGAGTGCGCATAGGAGTGGTTGCTTTTACAGGGTCAACTGCGAGCTTTGGATGCAAAAGCAACTCTCAAGGTATTTTACAATGGTCGCAAAAATTCCACCCCGTTCTCATACAGTTCAGGATACCCTCGACCATAACTCTGTGATATATTCTACTTGACTTTGACCTCAAAGTTGAAAACAATTTTGAATTGGAACATACTTTATGAGTGGCTTGTCAAACACCTAAATGTGACAGTCTGGACAATGGCCGCCCTCTTTCAAGTCTGACTAGTAATAAAGCCCCTTGAATCGATCGATTCAGTGTAATGAAGGTGGCATAACGTGACCGAATTCAATTGGAGTTTTCAGTTGGAGCAAAGAAATAGTCATTTTCTGCGTTTTCTAACGGGTTAGAAGAAATACATTTGGCATTCATGCGACACCGGTTACGACGGATATTCGTCTTTCTCAAATCCAACTGGAATAAATGCAAGACTCTACTGTTTGATCTAGTGTAAAGAATCTGGAAAACTGGGCCTTCAATCTCTGTTAATCTGTGTTATACTTGTAATTCTCATACCATAGGTAACCTCCTGGATTCGGGAAAATAATATCAAGTCCTAAGTGAAACAGTATTCATTCTCGAATGGTGGCAGTTCAGCAATTTTTCCGGTACACCATTGTGTGATGAACGGCTTAAAAAGTGAATCCCATAGTCACGAAGGCTTACTGTTCGGTCATGACAAGCGGCAATCTAAGTTCTCGGACTTGAAGTTACGAACCAACTCAAACTCCAATAGGGACTGAGCCGGGCGATGCTGCTTATCACTAGACAACAGGAATGTGAACCTCGCATCTTAAGGCTTCAAACACGCTGATGATAAAAAGTTAAGCCGTTTGACAACCTCCAACTGCACTAAACGATGCACTCACCCTTCCCTGCATCCTACAAGTGTTTTAACTTGTCAGTAGGATTAAATTTGTGAACGCTAATCAGGAAGCACAAATTTGTTCGGAAGTTAAGTGATACTCGATTCTGGGCAAAGCAGACGCAAAGTAACTAGATGTGTGTTTGACAAACAACTTCTGCCAACCTAGAATTGCTGATTTCTCTGGAGTGACATCAGGCGGGAATGAGGGCAGAGGACCAAACCCTCGCCCAATAAAATTGGCATGAACCACTTCAATGCCTTTTTCTGGATCCACCCAACACCGATCCTTCATTCTTTTCACTTTTCAGGCTTGTTGTAGATCCGAAATATTTTCACCAATGGCTTTCCTCCTCCCTTTGCGATATCTATTGATTTCATGAATGAATCCCTCTAGCTGTTCCATCCCTGATTATTGGTGTCCAACTCGAAAAGGTCTCAACTCCTATGGACCAGTGAAACCATTTCCTTCAACGGAACTTATGTCTGGTGCAACCATAGTTCCTGAAAAGGTTTTTCTTAGTGGCCTCCAAGTCTATCAACATGTACCAACTGACCCGTTACAGCATGTCAATAAACGCAAAAGATCCAGCTTCAATACCGTGTCCCATTTCATCTATTGTATCTGAACAAACCTGATTGGTCTGTCCGGTGTTTTTCTCGACTATTTCTCTGATTTTGGTTTCCTATTACGTCTGTTATTTTACAAAAGATTGAAGATTTCGGCCGTCCAAAAGAGTTTCTTATCTGGTTTTCTGAATATTTTTGTACTTGAATGCAGCAAACTGAGATAGAACACCAGTTTTTGGATATCTCTTTTCAATAACTCCGGAGTACTCCAGTATTTTGTGTTGTCTCTTGTTCTGTCCTCAAGCATCCTCCCTGTCTGTAGCATTTACATGTCCGGACGATATCGTACTTTGTCATGTCATTTCCGATCCCTCTGATTATTCCATAGTAACTTATCTAAAGCAGAACATTTCTCAACCCAATGTGTTTTAAAACTGATGTGTGAAATGCATTTTCAGTCCTTGTCATGTGTTTAGTTCCGATTATCTACCCAAAACTAGTTCTGTTAAGCATCATAGTGTCAACTTATATCCTAGTCTAAGATAGACGTCTCATATTCACCATATTCTAGGAAAATTTCGAGCTCCATAGCCGATCATTTCTAAGTTTTCCTTTCGCTTTTTTCCCCTAGTAATGTTTTAACCTTCTCCCTTAAGTTCTCCCGGTCTTTTGAGATAGAACTTTAAAACCTGGGTTTAACGGCTGTTAGTCGCGTTTCATCTTCTTTTGTTGATGCTCTACCGACTGAACTTGTAAATTATCACACTGATTCTTACTTCATCCCGGCCCATAAAACCCAACACATCCGTTACACAATGACCTATCACATTGTATGTCTCATTCATCCATCCACTCTGAGTTTTCTCCCCAATTCACTAGAATAAATCCGTACCAAGACTCCACTGTGCCACATAAGTACCCCATATAACTTTCCCCATTGTGTGTTGAATGGCAGCCCTTTGATTGGCTGCTTCCCCCTTCCTGAAAATTATATCATTGTATGTTCAATAAAATGAAAAGGGTTCTGCCAAACATTGGAACAAAACTGTTTACTAAATTTGAACATGAATTTGAAATTGTATCCTTTCCGTATACTTTTTTCTAACTATTTAAAGCTCGTTTGAGTCTACTTTTCTCACCATATCTGACTAAACCTTACGCCAAACGCTACAGATGTTCTCCACTTAAATAAAAGTACCAAATATTTCGTTAACCGTGTGATTGTACAACTTTTCACTGAGTTATAAGATACGAGTTTGTTGCACCAGACAACGGCAAAGCTGTCTCTGTCATCAGGGGGTGAGGGTGGGGGGAAGCGTTTGAACCCATGTTGCGGTCCTCATTGGCGAAAATGGCTTTAAACGGCCGAGAGCACAATGTCGAAAATATTGGATACAAATTCTGCTATTTGATATCAATACACAACATGTGTGGTCGGCATCTCGTCCCAAACTAACGTTATTGTGTTGTTGATCGAAAGAGAGAGAATTGCTGTTCTATTCACTAAAGATATCTCCACAGAGACTTAGTCCTGTGACATTGGGGCACCTGTACCCCCTACTCTCGACACTCAAACCGAATCCATCAAGTGATGGTTCAGCGTAGGTGTATTACAGTTCAACTCTGTATAAGAGTCGCATTCGATACAAACATGTTTTAACTTGCCCGTAATTAACGTCGCATTTTTTCATCGTTAGATCCGTTTTGTTCAGTCTGCTGTTCACTTTTGCGCATGTACCGAAATTTCCCACGAGTCTTGTCTACAACTTTAGTTCGCAGACCAACATATCACTTTCATCGTGCTTGAAAGAACAGTAACAACGGGTAACTGAATAAGTCGATGACAGAGTTCTTGAGCTTCGACATGACCGTTTTGAAAAACCCGTTTGTGCCCATATTCAATTCGCAGTAGAAGTGAACAAAGGTAGATCCCAGCACAATTGTACCTGCTAAATTCCTGTTTGGTTGACCGGGTCTGTTCAGCTGTTTCTTTGTTGTCGGACAGATGAACAATTTTTCCTACTTGTGCATGTGCTTTAATCATAAAGAATTCCTAAGTTGACTCTATGCATTGACCGTTCAGTACGATTAACGACTCGGAATATTCCGGCTTGGCTACGAACTGTTTATACATCTAGAATCTAATGAGCATTCTTGTGCGTTGTACGGCGATTCTCTGATTTGCCATTCCCCCACCCTCCCCCATTTCTTAAAATTGCATTACTTTGTATTCAATAAAAGGAAGTAAAATTAAAAAATAGGATCTGGTTGGCTCAGAATAAAAACTGATTTGGACTTGCATAAATGGCATTCCTATGAAATATATGATTGTGTACTCGAAGATCCGTCGTGGCATAACCGGACTGGGAAAGCATGAAGCTCTACCAACTAGGTTCATTACAATAATCAAAGCGGATTTGAAGTGTGCAACTTGAACCAACACCTCTGTTGCCGTGTAGAAGAGAGATGAAAGTTTGGGGTATTCAGCTAAAAAATCTTCTCTTCCAGGCAACGCAGTATTGGACCCCAGACCCACTCGGGCTGCAAACGAAAATGACATTCCGCGGGTAGTTCGAATCGCAATTGATTGGAATTGAAATGCACAGTGAGCTTAGATTGTGCTGAACTGCTTGTTTGGTCAGCTATTTCTGTGAACTGAATGAAATCTGTCACATCGTGTCTATCGGATAACCCATACCCCTTGATAGCTGATACCAATGAGGATGGGACTGCTAATCTACATCATATGAGTTTCAATCTCACAACATTTATAGCAAGTTAATATTTTTTTCTCAAAATGCACTATTGTAATCCCATCCACGTATTCACACTCGTTTTCCAACTTCTCCTTCTTCAGTCGCGAACACTGCGCATGCGGTTGGCCGAGATCTTTGACGAGATGTCATTCGATCCGCATCCAGCAATTGATTCTTCTGGTGCGCTTCAACGCAAGGTCCTGAGCAGGGATTCGCAAAATGACTTAGATCAGCTTACACGAACTGTGACCCCGGACCCGGACTCTGTTGGTACGCGAACAGTTCAGACAAACGGGCAGTCACGTAAAATAAAGAAGCCTGCTCCGTCCTTGGTAGAACGAGACTATCGTTCATTGTTTATGAGCTAACGGGATCAAGCTGTTAGTCTGTCTTGTTCTCTCAATTTTCTATCCCCCACCCCCTCCGATTCCTCGTCCGACTCGTGGAGAGCTTGTCACCGGTGGGCATGTGACAGGAATATGATTCGTGAACGAGGATCATCATACTTCCCGTGATATATAAAAATATTTATATGTATAAGTGTAAACCTCCGTGTTCTATTCATTCCAATTTCTCCTCTTTATTCTCGCTTTGCTTTGCTATGTATCGGTTTTCTGCTGACTTACTCATTTGTTCGTTCTCATCTGTGGTTGAACCAATCAGCCCCAAAAACACCTCTGCCTCATCCTCGGATCCATTTTGTCCGCCTGCTCTCGACCGAATTTCGTTTTGTTTTCCTCCCTTTTTTGTTTTGTTCTCCGTTTTCTTTTAACCACTTCTTTGCTTTCCAGATAGCAAGCACATCGAGCAACTGGATGATATCAGATCAAACTGCGGATTCTTATTCCCAAATATGGATACGCTTTTATTATTTACACACACATTGGCATGCATCTATACATTGATATTCACTTTGGCGATCAGCCCCAGTCTCAGTTCAAATCCCGTCTTGACAAATGACACGATAATCTTTGTGCCCACACACACAAAGGGTGCGCCCAGATCCGATTTCCTAATCCAGTGTTTCCTCATACCTACTATCCTGGTATTGCAATGTCCATTCAGTCTGTTTGTATCGCAATCCTAGTCCGATTCTATCAACTCCTGCTTT